ATTAATATTTATTTATAATTAATAGTAATAAATAATAATTAATATTAATGAGAGTTGTAATTGAAAGAAGTGACAATAAGCCACCAAAACGCTACTCCAAGTAGCGTTTGAATAACTTAACTTATAAGTTAGCTTATGTGCATCTAAACGTGTACCCAAAAAATAAATTAGCTTATAAGTTAACCTAGTTTTGCTAAACAATATCATTACGTATTATATTTCGTTTACTACCTTAAGAAAATGAGGTTAGATTTAGATTCGGTTTTCTAAGGTTAACCAATGCAAACAACGTTGCATAATACATGAAATGACAACTTACATACCATAAAAAAAAACAATTAAATTTAGATTGAGAATTTGATTTCTTTCTCGTACACTTACACATCGAAACTCAGATAGAATACTTTCATGAAAATCAAGAATTCTAAATCTTCGACCCCGGCAGGTACTTGTTCAAGAGCTCTCGAGCTAACATCTCAAGACCATCGATGTCTTTAAACAATGCCTCGTCTAACGAGGCAGAGTCGTCGTTGGAAAAGCCTGGTGTTTCAAGCGAAGGCACCGTAGAACCAAATGACGACGGTGAATGGTTTTTGGATGATTGACATGAAGTACTGTGTTTCATGATAGAAACACGAGTTTGGACGTATGCTAACTCCGCCTGTAAATTATCGATCTGTATTTGAACATAAAAATACGAAATTAGAAAACCATATAATAATTTCAATTAATTTATAAATTTAAATTATAACTTACATTAAAAATTAAAAATATGGTCCAATTTATTTTATTAAAATAATTAGATAATTATTTTAAGTGTAAACCACGTTTTCGTCCTTGTGGTTTGTTACAAAATGCTATTTTCGTCCCTATGTTTTTAGAATTACGAATTTTGTCCTTATGACTTATAATTCATTGTTTTTTAATCCCTGTGGTGGTATGGTTTATAATTCATCGTTGTTTTCATCTCTCATATTTAACGGTAAGCTGCTAACGCAGTTAATCTTAGGGACGAAAACAACAATAAGTTACAAACAAATGGATGAAAACCGTACTTAATTTTGAAAAAGTTGAGACAAAATTCGCAACTTTTAACAAACCACAAAGACTAAAATTGTAATTTATGGGATGTTTGGGATTGTTTATAAAAATAACTTATTGACTTATTCCGGTGTGACGTCGATAATAAGCACTTTTGAGTGTTTGGATAAACAACTTATATCGGTGTCAAACCGGTAACAAGAAGTTTTTGAAGAATTGAAACTATTCTTACTTATAATAAGTACTTTTAAAAAATAAAAACATAAGTTGTTTCAAAAAAAATAATCCCAAACACCCCCTTACTCTTATTTTTAGAGTAAATTACAATTTTCGTCCCTATGATATGTTAATAATTTCAACTTTTGTTCTTATAGTTTAGAAATTGCTATTTTTGTTCCTATGATTTGCAAGTTATTGCTATTTTCATTCTCAATCTAGTTGTTGCATTTAAATAAAGGGACCAAAGCAGTAAAGAATTGTAAAACAAATAGACTGAAATAACAATAAATTGTAAATTATAAGGATAAAAACTGCAATTTATAAACCATAGGGACGAAAATTGAAATTTTTAACAAACCATAGGGACTAAAAACGTAATTTACTCTAGATTTTAATAAACTAACGCATGTATAGAGGGAGGACCTGTTGCTGGAGGTTGAAGACTTGGGCCACACAGCCATACACAGGGTCTTTGACTCTAGAGACAGCTTCATAACACAGTGAAACGACGGCGTCTAGCCGCCTGTTCGCCGGCGTTATCAGGAGGAGCTTGGCGGCGTTCCTGGCTCCGAACACCCTGTGCACCGCCTCAAACTCCGCCGTACCTCCGTCGTCTGACTTAAAGTACGGTGCAAACACACACCCTTTCACACATTTCCTCCTCAAGAACTTGCATGCCCCACATGGTGATCCACCACCACCACCACCACCATTGCCCCCCATCTCACTCCTCCCTCCGCCACCCCCAACTGTGTCTGTGTGTGTGTGTCACTGTGTGAAAATGGAGAGATGGGTGTGTGTAGTTGATGAAGAAAAATGTTTTGATGGTAGTGAGGGGGTTGTGAAAACTGTTGGTGGTGAGTCAGTTACAAGCATTGGGAGGAACCTTAAATAGGAAAACTTTGGAAGGGTGAATTGGTAAATTCACAATCACCAGGTTTTACTTAGCAGTTGGGAAGAACCTTAATTGGGAAACTTTAAGGGTAAAATGGTAAATTCACAATCATTGTTTTTTGTCCTCTTATCTTTTTAGGGCAAGCAACAAAAGTCGCTCAAATATATCCAACTATTGAATTGCTATAAAAATATTTAGGGGTGTTTGGTTACATGTATTATACAGTAACTGATATGAATGAAAATAAAAGAAACTGTTTGGTTTTCTGTAATGTAATAGGATCATTCTTCCAGAAGCCCAAAATTGCATTCATGGTTAAACTGATGGGAATGAAAATTCATTTTCATTTCTCGGCATGATCCAAACAGATCTACAGTAAATTACATTTTTTGTATCTGGTTATTACTTATTATTAAGTTTGGTTCATTTTTTAAAACTAAGTACAATTTTGATTATTGTGGTTTGTTCATTTGTTTCATTCTAAGTAACTATTGACGAAGGAGTTGTTTACCCAAATATTTATTCATAAAGTGCTTACCTATAGAAGTCAATACTATAATTTACTTTGATGCGTAAGATTTTAGTACATCAAAACGTATTGAATGCAATAATTTACCGGGTAAGCATTTACCTGGGTAAGAGTCATCATCTTCATTACCGAGTAAGATTCTCTATTCATCTTATTGTTTTTACCTGGTATGATTTTTGACCCTTGTCATATTCATTTGATAAGAAAATTTATCCGGTAAACACTTATCAAGTAAGCTTATGGTAAACCATTTTTAATTTTAATTAAAAAATTAGTTAGCTTAAAGCCATTTTAGTCCTTTAACTTTTATTTTGTCTTTTTCTTATTTTGTTTTATTAGATTACAAAGTAAATTTTGATTTTAGTCCTTATGGTTTTTCTTTTTTCCTTTTTGATCCTTTTTATATTTTTATTTTTCATATTATACCCTTATTTTATTAATTAATTAATGATGACTTTAACTAAAAATAAGTATTTT